AAATAGTGCAAGAAATAATTTATATCCCTCAAATGGATGGTGTAGTGCACAATTCTTTGATGTCTGAAAACTGACAGCAGATCCAGAGAAAAGAAAAAAAAAAAAACCATACTCGGGAGCAATGGATTAAGCAGAAATATCTGGAAGCAGCGACAATAACGGCCACAGGATACACCGTTAGGAGGCAACGGTGGTAAGGTATTCTAGTTCTTAACGGGCTAACTGAAAGAAAGAAGGAACTTTTTTTTTTAAACTGATAGGCGTTCTAACTCTAAATTTTAGACAGTATAGATTTATGCAAAGAACATATTCTCAACGCATTTTTTTTAGTAGTTAAATATTGATAAATAAATTATATATATGTTATAATTGAAAAATAATTGTAAAATTAATATATACAAATGAGACATTTGTCCTAAAAAAACACACAAACAATAGAAAAGAAAAGAAAAAATAGAAAAAAAGATATATATATATGCATACATAGACCACAGAAAATATATGCTTGATAGCAAGAAGGAGAAAATTTTAAATATATCATAATTTTTTTTCATTTATAAAAATATAAAAAAAAAAAAAGAAATAATTAAAAAAAAGAAGAAAAAAGAAAGAAAAAATATAATTATAAGCGTAATTATAAATATATTTATAGATTGAATTTATTTTATTTTTTTTTTTTAATTTGAAATTTATAGCTAGGTAAACGGCGGCTGGAGTGACGTCATTTCTGCGGCTGGTGGTAAGATATTATTATTTGTCAAACAACTTTTCAGATTTAGAAGAAAAAAAAAATCAAATATCTCTGTAAGAAGTAATAAATATTTCACAAGTTGTTTTTTTTGTTTTTTTACATTTTTTTTGTTGTTGATTATCAGTGCAACAGTTTTTTTTTTGATATAATTGCTATGTCACTGATTCTCCTCTATCTTTAGGTCGGAAGATTTCAGGTGCAATTACTGATATTTTTATATATATATTCATTTGGTTTTTTTTTCTTTCTCGTTTGTGTTTTTCTTTGCTAGGGAGTTTTTTTATACATTAGTTAGATACTCATTTATATATGAATATATTTACTTTATTTTTATACTTATTTATGAAATTATGTATGATTAAATTTGTTAATATAGAAATAAATTGAATATTGCAATTTCATTGTTATGCTATTCTGAATATAAAAAGAAAAAAAAAAGTGTGAATTAAAAACATTGTTTTTTATTATCCATTTTACCATATTGTAAAAAATTTTAAATTTTTGTATTTAATTTAAAAATACAGCAAATATAAAAAAAAAAGAAAAAAACGATCTATGTAGATATAATTTTTGTATGTATTTTTTTCTTTGAGGTAGTTTTATAAGGTATTCTGAAGTCCATCATGAGCATTTAGGAATTTTTAACTAAAGGGGTGGTAATAAAGTTGTGACCATACTTCTCGCTTAGGGGCATTGTAATACCACGTAATCTGAGGTGGTATCAAATAATGTATTTTCTTACTTCGTTACGCTGACTATTAGGCACATAAACCAATAATCAGGTATTTATGACGAAAGGCTTGCAGGCACATAAACCGCTAGCCAAGTAAGTAAATAATTTTTATTTACTTGCTATATGGGTTAAAAGGCACATCTACCAATAACCAAATTTTGTTTTTGAAGGAAAGACGATTGTTTTCGCTCTCGAGTTTTATTATCAATATTGTTACCTTATATAGTATAGAATTACTTACTAAGCATAATAATATTTACAATTATTGATGACTAAAATAATAATTTAAATTTCACATATTGCTGCATAAGCATAAATACAATATGTGAAGCTATTGAACTTATAACCGTAAACAATGTATTTAATATTTACAATATTTATTTGCTGCATAAGTGTAACTACAAGCGAGCTAAAATATGTTAGGTTTGTTAAACTTAACATTCTGCCCGGCTTGAATTACGTTATTCAAGAATGAATCTATGAGCAATGATTGATTTGATTTGCAATGCGTTATGTGTTTTTTTTTAAAAATCAACAGACAAAATTTTAAAATAATTACAACATTTTGTGGATATATAAATACACATATAATTTTTAAACAATAAATAGTTATACAATATTATATAAACTTAAAAATATAAAATTTAGAGTTTATAGCATCATGAGAATTTGAGAAGCTATGTAATTGTTTCAGGCTCCAAAGTAAATCTTGTTCGTGGCATCGCGTTTGGTGTGAGAGTTTGTGTTGGCTGATTGACTTCTGGACGCTTTACCTGCTTTATTTTCCATATCATCCATATGATGGCTCCAACGACAAGAATTAGGGTTGTGGAATTAATTGCGTAGTGGTGCATGCTGTCCGTCTGTAGTTTGTGTGGTAATTCAGCGAATTTTTCATCTTTCAGAGTATTATGAAGTAGCTTTAACTGTTTAAGTTCATTGCTGAGATTCAATGAACTTCCTTTAAAATTTGACCATAATTCTGAGTTATTAATGACAGGTATCTCACCAAATGCAATGTAAGATTCATACATGGTGTCGGTAAGCGTTTGATGTGTCTGAATTGTAGACGTTTGGTGTTTGAGTACACAGTCGTCTTGTAATTTCAGAAGTGTTGCACCTTGTAGTTCTAAATGAGTCGTGATGCCCTTACAGACGGCCGTAACTGTTGTATTGTTTTTTGACCCGAATATCCATTGGTTCGCATGATACAGGGGACTCCAAATAATGTTCGATTTTGTTTCCTGCACATTACACGTATTGTCAGATATGTTTTTTAATAGTTTAAATTCGCAAGCGTAAGCCTGTGAGCCGATGTTATATTTTGATTGTTTATCTGAACAGAGTAGTTTGTTTTCTGGTTGCTTGAAAGTCATACACTCCTTATACTGTTCACGAGTTAAGGCAAAATATTGGTCTCTATGCGGCGTGGCAGCTAAAAATGAAGCTTCTGGAACTATTGTCATCATTGTATTGTTGACTGTTGCAGGAATTGGGACGAGATTGAATAAATCGAAATCCTCATGATCGGTTAATGGCAGTTGTAAGACAACTATCAAATGATCTTGTGTGATTCCACTTTGTGAAGACATCAACGTGTATAAATGAATAACGTCCTCTTGATTAAATGGAAGAAGAAGTGAATGAGGTAAATGGCCCTTGATCTTCATGATTTGGTCTTGAAGTTGCTGTGGAGACATCAAAAGAGAATTAATTCTGCCATGCTGAGTATCAGTTAAGACATCAAATATCGCAGCTTCAATTTTTATTAATGTGTGTGCCATCCATGTAAGTTGGGTTACCAGTGATGTATAGATCTCTAGGTGGTTAATACGTTTAGTATTATGATTAGTGTAATCTACTATTTTGTTTGTCTCATCTTGTAGTTGATTCATTTTAACTGCAATGGCTTCTGTAGTTTTGCTGAATATATTTAGCGTTGAGTCCATGACTGTAGTCTGATTTTTGATCATTTTTGATAGTACATCTTCATTATTGCTGATTTGAGTTAGAGTTTTAGAAATCGTTTCAGCATATTCTGAATCTAAAACACCAAATAATTTGTTAGCAATATTTCCAACTATATTGATGGCTCCTCTGGCTGATCGGTGTCTCTTCATAACCTTCGTTTCAGTTCGTAATTCTATGTTAGAATTATTGAATTGGCGGACGAGCTCATAACAGTTTTCTTGTTGCTGTAACAATGGGCACAATTGCTGAAGTGCTTCTGTGCCATTTTGAAACCTTTCGATCTCCTTTCGAATAGGCGCGAACTCAAAGTAAGTGATAATTTTCCATCTTCGAATGATTTGATTTACGGTGCCAATTCCTTCAAAATATATTCCGGGTTTGTTTGGAAATGATATTTCTTCAATGGGTTTCGAAAGTATTAATGGCATCATCAATATTGTCACAAGTATGGTCATCATTAAAGATGTGCCATCATATATCTTTCGACGCTTTGGCAACGCTTCACTAGGTTCATTCGTTCGTCTTGTTTGTGTGACAGTAGAATTTTGTTTTGTTGGATTTTGATTAATGCTGCCTTCAGGGGGTAGGGGGACCAATGATCGTAATGGTCGTTTAAAAATCCCATTGACTGTTTTTATGTCAGCTACACGGACCAAGCCATCTTCTCCTTCATACACCTGTTGCACCCTGCCAAGAGGCCATTTGTACATGGGTAGATTATCATCTTTAATAATGACTAAATCACCTTGGCATAGATTTGCCTTTTGTTGTTTCCATTTGTACCTTGATTGGAGTTCATTGAGATATTCCTTTGACCATCTTCTCCAGAATTCTTGTTTGAGTTCAGAAACTAGACGCCATCGTGATAATAAACTCATTCGGCTCTCCTTTTGATAGGGATCCACATTAGTGGTAGGTGGTTCGCCTATGAGAAAATGTCCTGGTGTAAGCGCTGTTAGATCATTTGGATCATTTGGAAGTCAATGAAGCGTTCAAAATTCATTTAATCATTAAATGTTTAGCTGACTTGACGGCAGCTTCCCAGAGTCCTCCAAAATGAGGAGCTCTTGGTGGAATGAATTTGAAGTCAATTCCCTTGTTACTACTGGTCTTAATGATCTTTTCTTTACCATTTTCTGAATAAGTGGTAGACTGGAGCTCTTGTAGTTGGTTTCTCGCCCCAACAAAGTTAGTCGCATTGTCACTATAAATTGTTTGGCATCTTCCTCTTCTGCTGATAAAACGTTGAATAGTGGCTATGAATGCCTCTGTTGTCAGGTCACTCACCACTTCTAGGTGAACAGCCTTAGTCGCGAAACAGCAAAATACTGCTAAATATGCCTTTGTTGGCCTTTTTCCTCTAATTTTATAATGAATCCATATCGGACCACAGTAATCAACTCCTGTGGTAAAAAATGGTTTAGTCAGAGTAACTCGATCAGTCGGTAAGTTGCCCATGAGTTGGTCCATCAGTTTTGGTTTTGCCTTTGAACAGATGACACAGCTGTGAACAATGTTTCGCGCCATAATCTTTCCTTTAATCGGTCAGAAGTCTTGTCTCATTATGCTTAGCAATAATTGTGGAGCACAATGGGAATTTTCTTCATGTTTCATTTTGAACATCAATTTCACTATTGAGTGATTGTAAGGAATTACCATTGGGTGTTTAACATCATATGGCAATGTTGATGCTTCAAGCCTTCCTCCAACACGAAGTACACCTTGTTCGTCAATGAACGGTGCTAAAGTATTTAGTTGACTCGAACTGTTGATTGCTTTACGTTGTTTTAAGTCAGAGATTTCCTTTGCAAATTCTGAACCCTGAATAGTTTTAATTATGAAGACTAATGCATCTCGTAATTCCTTTGGAGAAAGTGTTCTTGTTGGTGATTGTGTGCGATGAAATACACGGCGAACATAAGCAATTGTTCTTTGGAGGTATCTGAATGAGTTTCGATGATCAATTTGATTTATCGTGTGATCAGAACCAGTCGTTTGAATGATAATGTTAACTGTATGTCCTTGTCGTCTTTCGATATCAGTTGAGATGTTAAATGCCTTTGGGTTTGGCTGTTGCCAAAATTCGTTGCCTCCATGAAGGAAGAGTGGACCAAAAAACCATATATGTGAATAATTGAACATTTTAACTTTTATTTCTCTGGAAATGATGACAGCAGGATTATCCTTTGACGCCACATGATGCCATTGATCAGCATGTGACATCTCTTGAATTTTGCTAATACGATTTGCTACGAATGTGTGCAATGAGGCAGATGAAGATATTATCCATGACAAAACAATTTCGGAATCGGACCAAAAGTAGGTTGACACGTTTTGATACTTTAAATCTTGTTTAACTCTTTCTGCTAATTCGACTCCCAGCAATGCTGCGCAGAGTTCTAGTCGTGGAAGTGTCTGTTTCTTTAATGGTGCTATTCTAGATTTGGCGCACAATAGTCTCGATGTTATTGTGTTATCATTATATATTGCTCGCACGTACATAGCTGCTCCATATGCCTTCTCTGATGCATCCGTAAACACGTGTAATTGAATCGAACAGGGAACCGTCGAATTAAAAATATGTCTGGGTACTTTCACAGTATTTAATGTTTGTAAGTCATTTCTAAAACGCTTCCATTCTAGCTGAGCCTGAGGTAACAGTTCCGCATCCCAGGAATAGTTTTGCATGAATATTTTAGCTGTTACAGTAATGGGGCCAAAAATTCCCAAAGGATCAAAAATTCGAGCTAAATCCGATGCCACAATCCGCTTCGTGATAGGTTGCTCTGATGACATCTCTGCCTTACCGCAAAATTCGTCTGATTTCGAGAGCCAAATAATGCCTAATGTTTTTGTTGACTTTATGGCTGAGTCATCTAAATCAAGGTTGATTTCTTGGTCTTCTATCGAAATGTTTTGTAGGAGTCGTGTATTATTTGAGCACCATTTTCTCAGTTTAAATCCTGATTTACTGAGCAGTTCCGTAAGTTGTTGTTGAGTGTCTAAGGCGGTAATGATGCTGTTAGTTCCGCTTAAACAGTCATCTACATAAAAATCATTAAGTAATGCAGGTGCTCCAAGCGGATAGTTGATCATATTATGTTTCGCAAGGTGTTGAAGACATTTTGTTGCAAGATAAGGGGCTGACTTCGTTCCATATGTAACCGTTTTCAGTCGGTAATATTGTATACTATCATCAGCACTTTTTCTCCAGATTATCAGCTGCTGTGCTGTATCTTCATCATGTACTTGAATTTGCCGGTACATTTTCTCAATATCAGCCGTAAATACAAACCGGTGTATTCTAAAACGCAACAGTATTGAAAAAAGATCACTTTGCACTGTTGGACCTTTGTGCAAAATATCGTTTAGTGCTAAACCGCTTGATGTTTTTGCTGATGCATCAAAGACAACTCTCAATTTGGTTGTAGTGCTGTCAGGTTTCAAGACACAATGATGAGGAATGAAATATTGTGCTCCTTTGACATCTTTCGGGCAAACTTTTTCCATGTGACCTAATGACTCGTAGTCATCCATGAGCTTTATGTACTCCTTGTATAAATTTGGGTCCCTTTGTAACTTCCTTTCCAGAGAACAAAATCGATTGAATGCTATCTCACGCGATCTACCAAGTGTTGTGGGATCATCGCGGAAAGGTAAGCGTACAATGAAACGACCATCGTGATTTGTCTTTACATGATTTGTAAAGTGATTTTCACACCATTTCTCAGATAAAGTCAAAACCCTTTCTGCAGTCTCAATGTTATCTAACTTCCAAAATCGTTCTATCATTTCTGACATTTCACCAACTTCTCCTGTAGTAATAGCGCATGTTGGTTTAATATCTGTTGTAGTTTTAGTCTTACCAACCACCAACCAACCTAGAACCGAATTTTGTGACAGTGGCGAATTCTTTCCTATTATCAATTGTTCTGGTTGAAGTAGAGTACGATAGAATTCAGCACCAATCAGCATGTCAATTCTTCCAGATCTGTTAAAGCTGGGGTCTGCTAATTCTACATTCTGTGGTATCTGCCAATCCGAGATATCTAGGTCTCGTGACGGTTGTGCTGATATTATTTGTGGCAATACAAATGCCTCGAGTCTCGTCCTGAAGCTTCCATTAGTAGCCTGCAGTTCAACATTTACGCGAGATTTTGAGTTCCCGAATTGACGGCCAATACCTTCGATCGATAGATTTGAATTTGTGGTAATTAAAGATAACTTGTTGATTACTCTTTGGGTTACTAGGTTCACTTGAGAACCTGAGTCGAGTATGGCACGAACATCACATGTTCGTCCATTGTTTGCAATAATGCGCACCTTTGCAGTGGCTAGCAGAACGTAATTACGAGTACCCTTTGCATTAGTTGTTGCTGTTATGGATGGCGATTCATTAGCGTTGATCAATGTTGTGGTTGACTTTGTGTTTGTTGCTGGTGCCCTTGAAGGTTTAGGTGACTGTTGCTCTAAATGAAGCAAAGTGTTATGCTTCTTGGCACATTTTTTACATGATCCAGCTTCACAAACCTTTGCTTTATGATCGGATTTGAAACAATTCACACATAGTTTTTGTCGTTGAATCCAATTTAATCGTTCAGGAGGAGTCATTTCAATGAACTTTTTGCAATAGTAGATCGGATGTTTATCTGTATTACAAACTTTACATAGATCTGAACAAACCATAGTTACGGCTATCCTTTTGTTGGGTTTATATACTGCATTGTCTCGTAGACCTATAGCCTCAAGTGACTGAAATTTCAATTCTAAAAATTCTAAGAATTGTTTTATTGTGGGCATCTCCCTTGGGTTAGTAAGAGTTTGTTCAAAACTGCAATGTGTATTTTTATCCAACTTTTTTAGTAGTATGTGAACTAAAATTGGATCCCAAGTTGATGTTTCAATATTTAAATTATGAAGTTCACATAGACTTTCCTTTGTTGTGTCATGCATATTTTTAATGGCTTGGACTGTTGGATGGGCATATAAAGAGTTTTGAGCTGTCAAACGTTGCAAAACTGCTGATACTAGAACTCTTTTATTCTCATATCTACTTTGTAGTAATTGCCATGCCGTCTCATAATTTGCATCTGATATTTGCAAATGCTTGATGAGTGCTTCAGCTTCGCCTTGAATATTGGTTTTCAAATACCAGAGTTTCTGTGAGTCTGATATTCTTTGATTGTGTATCAGTTGTGCAAACAGATCACTGAATTGTCACCAACTCAAATAATCTCCACTGAACTTTGGAAGAGATATTGTTGGCAAAGTAGCCGATGGTTGATAAGTTGACCTAATTGATATCTCAATCTTGGTCGACTTACTAGTCCATTCAACCATTGTATCTTGCACCAACTGTTCCAGTGCTAGATAATGATTGCAATCAGGAGGGTTGTCTTGCCGTTTCTGAATAGTAAAATTTAAACCTTCAGCCTGATCCCATAACTTGGTAAGCGTAGCTAATTTTACTGCAAAATATTGTGGTACCTGTTGCTGGTTATCTTGTCTCACATTGTGGATGAGACGATTGATTGATTTACACACTGCATTTCGTCTGTTGACTAATGCCTGAATAATTTCATTCTCTTGACCACCAGTAGGTAATACTATTTCAATAGCTTCAACATCATTATTTATCTGAAGGTCCAACCCCTTTATTGTTGATGGTTGAGCCTTAATGGGTAATGCTTCCAGCTCTTGAGTTATTGTGGTGATATATTTGTTACCCAAATTTATGATTACCATGCCGTAATCTTGTGTGAAATATTCCGATGTTCTTACTAGTACATCGGCTTGTTGTAGTCGCTCATCATTAGCCTTGAAGTCAGCTAATAACTGTTCTAAAGTTGTTTTACTATCTTCGAGATATTCACGTGTTTTCCTGCTGGGTGAGTCCTTCTTGAAGTTGCGAATGATTCTGTCGATCTCTGAACCAATTGAATCCTGCTGGTCAGTTAAAGTGGACATTGATTTTGGATCCATGGTTATTGTATTTCCGTTAAAAAAAGTTGTTTTCAATGAAGATTTTTGTAAACGCTGCTGGCTCACACTGAGTTGCTCTTGCCAATCACGTCGGGGTCACCAATGTAATACCACGTAATCTGAGGTGGTATCAAATAATGTATTTTCTTACTTCGTTACGCTGACTATTAGGCACATAAACCAATAATCAGGTATTTATGACGAAAGGCTTGCAGGCACATAAACCGCTAGCCAAGTAAGTAAATAATTTTTATTTACTTGCTATAGTGGTTAAAAGGCACATCTACCAATAACTAAATTTTGTTTTTGAAGGAAAGACGATTGTTTTCGCTTTCGAGTTTTATTATCAATATTGTTACCTTATATAGTATAGAATTACTTACTAAGCATAATAATATTTACAATTATTGATAACTACAATAATAATTTAAATTTCACATATTGCTGCATAAGCATAAATACAATATGTGAAGCTATTGAACTTATAAACGTAAACAATGTATTTAATATTTACAATATTTATTTGCTGCATAAGTGTAACTACAAGCGAGCTAAAATATGTTAGGTTTGTTAAACTTAACAGGCATAACTACACCTTGGCTGAACAAGATCTATTGGATTTCATTGTATGACACTGTTGTTACCTAAATTTAAAGAAAAAAAAAAAATAAAAGAAAAAAAAAAATATGGCACATCTAATTGATGAAGATCAGACATTGCCAGGGATATTGCCAACTTTTCCCAATTTTAAAGATATGATTGTATCGTATGCTGGTAGAATCGAAAATGTCGATTGGGTAATGGAAGAATCCATATTAGCGGAAATGCAGGCAGCAGGGTTGCCCAGGGGTAGGACCTGCAACATAGGGGTGAGCCAGGCCTGTACAGAGCTTCCTAAGGCTGCGGCAATAATAATGAATATCAAAGGCAAGGCCATTTCCCTACTGTATCATGAGGATTTCTTCAAATTTAGGAAACCCAAATGAGCGGTAGTATATATTTTTTTATTTTTTGTTGTTTTTTTTTGTTTGAAATAATTTTTTTTTTTTTTTTTTTTTTTTTTTTAATTTTATTTTGATTTTTATTGAATCTTCTAAAAAACAACTTAGAACTAACAATAAATTTTCGCTGCTAATTGCTGTATTAAAATATTTGAAATAAGTAAAATAGATAATTAATTGTCCTTAGCCAAAGCTTCGTCCAATTTCGTTACCATGTCGGGCGTTATTCTTGAATAGCCGGGTTTATATAGTTTTTTTTGAGTCGCTGTGTACCAGCGCTTTGGATAAGGTTGCTTGCAAGTGGATTTTGATGGTTCCTGAGTTTGATTTTGTACTTTTGTGTGTTGCTGGTAATTACATCTGTGACAGTGTCAATTCGAAGATCTCTATGAATATTTGCGTTTTTTATATACCAGGGGGCACCGACTATTTGCCGGAGGATTTTTGATTGAGTTCTTTGAAGTTTTTCAATGTTTGATGGAGAAGCAGAGCTCCAGAGTTCAATTCCGTAGGTCCATATGGGTTTCATCATTGTGTTGTAAAGTTGCACTTTATAGGTGAGATTAAGTTTAGAATTTTTATTTATCAGCCAGTTTAGTTCTTGTTGTTTGAGTTTAATTTGGGTTACTTTGGTTTCTATATGCTTTTTCCACGTAAGCCTTCGATCGAGGTGCATTCCTAAGTATTTGGTGTCATTGCATTGTGGTATTACTTTTCCATTAATACGAAGGGCAGGGCAGGTATCTCGTCGTAGAGTGAAGGTTATGTTTACACTTTTCGATTCGTTAACTTTTATTCTCCAGAGATCGAGCCATTTTTGCAGTTTGTTGAGGTGGTCTTGAACTGATTTTGTGGCTGTGAATGGGTCGTCACTATGGCTGAGAATGGCAGTGTCATCCGCAAATGTTGATGTTGTTGTACAGTCACTGGTTGGCATGTCTGCTGTGAAATAATGAAGTAATTTATGTAAAGCATAAGGATTAGGTAGATAATAATTTTCTTTAAGCAATGAAATAATAAGGAATTTAAGTTATTAGTTGTTTATAATAATTGTTAGATGAATAGTATTTTTATATGAATATAAATAAATGAAGTATGAATGACTGATTGATAGGATAAGAACTTAAAGCATGGCACGATTTTTTTTTTTTGTTGTTGTCTATAGTGTAACCTCAGGTGGCAAGAACCCCACCCCGACACTGGCGAGCATACCGGGCTAGCCATCGTGCCATGCGCGGCCTCTGAGGACACTAATTCTGAACAACAGGTGGACACAACATACCTCAGCATCATCAGCGACAGAAAGTGTGTCCTTACAACTTGAAATTGAATATTTTTTAATGCTTGTGTCCGAAACACATCTTACTCAAAGAAAAGGTTTCAAAATTCCAAATTACTGCTTTTAGGACACCAAGCATCCCAAAGGTAAGGCTCGTGGAGGTACTGGTATTATATTAAAAAAAAGGACTTAAACACTTTGTTTTAGAAGACTTCAGCAGAGATTATCTACAATCGACAGCTATCCGATTTGATGAATATGGAGAAAATGTTGTAATAGCTGCAATATATTGTCCACCCAATCACAATATAGAAGTCAAAGACTTCTAAAACTTTTTTAAAACACTCGGTTCTTAATTTCTGGTCGCAGGCGATTTTAATGCCAAGCACACATTCTGGGGTTCAAGGCTAATAACACCAAGAGTACGGAAACTTCTGGCAGTTGTGAAAAGTGGAGATCTCAACGTTATTTCAACTGGACACCCAACATACTGGCCTTCTGATCGACAAAAAGTTCCAGATCTTATCGACTTTGGTCTAAGCAAATATATTAAACCATCAAAAATCACCGCATTTCCATCAGTTGAACTGTCATCTGACCACTCACCAAAAAGAACAATACAAAATCAACAGAATAGAACTATCCAAACACAAAGTCTAACAAAATATATAAACTGGTTAAAATTTCGTAAATATGTTTCTTGTCATATACCTCAACATGCTTCGTTAAAGATGAATAATGAAATTGATGGTTGTGTTAGCAAATTTTCTGAAGTAATCTTAATGGGTGCTGAAGTAGCTTCTATAAGAATTGAAAAAAGAACCCAAAAAATCGGTGTGACAGAAACAATAGAGGCATTATTACAACAGAAGAGGAACACTAGAAGACTATGGCAACGGCATAGATCCCTAAAGCAAAAGTTTTACTTGCTAAATGGTACAAATGAACTGAAATATGCACTAGCAGAAAGACATCAAAAATCCCTAGACAATTTTCTATTCAATTTGGCACCTAATGAACAAACGGATTATTTACTTTGGAAGCCAACAAAGTACCTCAAACAGCCTATCCAGCATGAATCTCCTTTCAGACTAGAAAATGGTGACTTGGCACGAAGTGATTTGGAGAAAGGAGACATGTTTGTAAAACACTTGAAAAATGTATTTATTCCAAATGATGCTTCACAAAATCTTTCTTTAAAAATTACAAACCTAACTATATCCCTCGAGCAGACTCCTTATTTTTATACTTGAAAATATCATTAAAATTATAAAAGATCTCAATGCGAAAAAGGCAGCAGGATAAAATCTCAGTTGCAATGGTGAAACAATTACCACAATGTGCCTTTATACATCTCAGGCATTTATTTAACGCTGTCTTACGGACAGGATATTTTCCAAAACTTTTGAAAATGTCTCAAATAACAATGATACCTAAACCTGGAAAGGACAAAACCAAAGTAGATTCTTACAGACCAAATAGCGTCCTTCCAGTATTATCAAAAATATTTGAAAAGCTATTAATAGCAAATATAATGCCAATACTCTTGTAACAGTAAAAAAACAACTCTGAGTAATATTGAGCTGAATGCAGCCCTGCGAGGCAGCATGAAAGGTGAATGACAGTTGATACGAAGCAGAGGAGACAGAAAGTAACGGAAATGACACACAAATGTGAAATAAATGAATAATGAAGTAATTGTAACGAATAGAATAGAATTATTTGTCAATAAAATATTTTCGGTATTTACATAACTGATTACATGTTTTCACATTTCTTTCCGTTAAAATAACATTCATTTAAGTATGACGCCGGGAAAAACGCGGGAAAAGACAAAGTGAGTAAATTTAAGATGAGTCGCAGAAATAATAAATCGCCATGTGAGACTCCAGTGTCGTCAAGATGTCAAGAGCAGACATCAATGCAAGATGTGTTAAAAGCCATACAAGCTCTACAACAAACAGTGAATGAAGTTCGAGCTGAAACAGTTTCGAATCGGGAAGACATAAGTAATTTGCGTGGACAACTTGCCAACGATAAGTCAGTAACGCACGAAAAGAAAGATGAAATAGGTAAGATAGATCAAGATGAAGACGAACGGTGCACTGCTGAAGTCGTATGTTCAGGAGGCGAAGGCACCCGACTTTATGATTTGCCAAAATTCAACGGTAAAGCCGAACAGAGGCCACTTTTTCGTGCTAGTTTTGAGGATTCCACCAAAACGTATACCAACAGACATAATTTAATACGCCTACAGAAATGCCTAATGGATGAATCCAAGGATGTCGTTCAGTCACTGTTAATATACCCATCAAATGTGCCTGCAGTTATGGAAGAACTTGAATTTTGTTTTGGCCGCCATAATTTATTAATACGGTCTCAGTTGGACAAGATTCAACAGTTCGAGAGAGTGACAGAGAGGAACGTTGATAGTTTAATTGCCTTATCCTCTCTTGTGCGAAAGTTGAAGCCTTTTTGTCATCAGCCAAGTGTGAGCAACACTTGAACAACCCAATATTATTAGAACAACTAGTGTATAAGCTGCCGCCTAGTAAACAATTCGAGTGTGCGCGTCACGCTGTAACTCTGAAGGAATATCCCACAATAAAAGAATTAAGTGTTTGGTTGAATGAGATGGCGAAAATTATTTGCCTTTTGCCACAGCCATTGTGTCAATCAAAAACCGAAAAGCCTAAAATTACAATGCCAGCTACTCAAAA